GAGTCCCGGGCAGGCGCCGCATACACCGGCGCGGCGCTCCGGACGGCCACGGGCGGCGGCGCTCGGAGGAGAGGAGGCGGCGGCCGCGGCGGCGCTTGGTGGTGTTGTTGTTTGCAGGCGCTCAACGTGGTGTCATCCTAGCCGGGCGGCGGCCGCGGCTGCAGGACACTGCGGGATCGCCCGCGTCTGGCGCGGCCCGCCTGCTCCAAAGACAAATAAACGGGCCGTGAGTGCCGCGGCGCAGTCCCGGGCGCAGGCGGGGCGCGCGGGGCCTGGAGCGGCGCGCGCAGCGGACGAGGCGCACAAAACTCAGCCCGCTCTCCCCGAGGAATGGACCCTTTCCCGGGAGCCAAAACTCGAAGCCCCCGGGAGCGGCGCTGTCAGAGGGTGACGTCGGGGGGCGGTGCCTACGCCATATATGGGAGCGGCCGCCCCTCGCCGCGCCCCTCGCCGCCGCCGCCGCCGCCGCGCTCGCCGACTGACTGCCTGACGGCGCGCGAGCCGGCCCGAGCCCCGCGAGCCCCGCGAGCCCCGTGGCCGCCGCGCGCCGAGGAAGTTCCCGCTCGCCCCAATAAAGCGTGCCAGGACCCCCTCGCAGCCCAGGCCGAGCGCAGCCCGCCCCAGTGCCCCCAAACACAGTCAACCCAGACGCATCGGATAAATGCAGGGGCCGCAGCGCTCCCCGGGGCGGCCCGCAGGGAGGGGGGCGACCGGCCGCGGGGTGGGGGCTGGGCAGGAGCAGCCAGGGCTCCGGGCCCAGTGCCGCGCAGCCTGAGTTCTCCGCCGACCTAAGGCTGCTGCCGGCCGGGTCTGTCCCCCGCGTGAGCCCGCCGGGCGCCTGGGGCTTCCTACCGCAGCCGAGGGCCAGGCCTGGGACCCACGTCGGAGGCTGCCTCGGCCAGATGCTCCCTCTCCCCCGTTGGCCGCGGGAGACCCCGGTCCCTAGCCTGTCCTAAGGCGCAGCGAGTGACAAAGAAGGCTCCTGGCTCTCCGGGCCGACGGAAAGCGCGCCCGGCCTCTCCGGCGAGCCGGAGCCGGGAGTCGGGCCGCGCGCCCTGCACAGTGGCGAGGCCGCCCAGGCGCCAGTCGCTCTGGAAGCCGAGCGGACCCTGGGGCGCCGGGCCGTGCCCTCAGTGCCGCCGGGCCGGCAGAGCGCGGCGCGCAGCTTCGCGACCTGGTTTCGAGGAATCGAGAGGGCGGCGGGGCGCGGGCAGAGCGTGGGCCCGGCGGGCCGGGCTCCAGCGGCGGGGACTCGGCGCCCAGGCGCGCGGCCTGCCAGAAGGACGTTTGCGCGACACGGAGCGGAGACCCAGGGGACGGCCGGGAGCTGTCCCGGGCACTTCCCTGCCGAGAGAAATCAGGCCCTTCTGATCAAAAAAAAATAAAAGGTTTCAGGACGCAAGTGTACCGCAGGACAGTCTCTGCCCACCCGGTCTGGGGCAGCACTCCCCTTTTTCGAATGGGCAGCGCGTCTACGTTAATATTTTAATTAATCAGGAAAATCGAAGTCCGATTTACTTTATCTGGGGACCCCCACGCCTCTTCGAAGGGGTGAGAAAAAAAGAAAGATGCGTTAGAAAGCAATCTATTTTGCTGGTGTTGGGGGTTAATGACTATTGCCAAAGATAAGTGAATTATCAAAGCTGTTGCGCCAGTCCCATCTCAAAATCCATTACGGTGCCGGCCGTCTAATTAAATACGTAAGTACAATAAAATCATATTTTATGACTATTGGAGGGTAATGAGATTAGTCTTTAGAAGCGATCGCCACATATTAAAAATGCCACTGTCTATAGAATGTTAATAACCCTAAATCAAAGTGTATGGAAACTATTCACGATAAATTAAAAGAAAATCTCTGTATTCCTAAGAAGCCCGGCGCTTTTCCCTCACAGCGGACTCGAGCGGAGGAGCGCGTGGACGGACAAGGCGAAAGAAAGTTGGCCCTCAGTGGAGGGTGGGGCTAGAAAACCGCTTTGTCTCTGCGTGTTTAGCTGCTTCGGGGGCCAGCGGCCCGGCGAGCGCTATTGTCAGAATATGCAAAGCGTCTTTTCGGGAAAGATGAAGTTGGAAATAGGCAACAATGCTTCCTCTGTGGCACACTTCCTAAAATGCCCAGCCCTCGCTGGAGGTACCCCTTCCTTGCGCTAACGAAAGTATCATGCTTCAAATCATTTACAGTATCTTTAATTCAGATTACACCCGCCAAGGCGATTTAAATCTGATTACCAAATTAGAAGGTTTAAAAAACAAATCCTTCTAAATCTGATACTGTTGACTAAAGAGGAAAAAAAAAAAGTTCCATAAGCCCATCACATAAGGTAATGATCCTGCCCCAGAAAGAAAAGGGGTTTTAAACCTTTTCGGCGGCAAATGCAGCTGCCCACTATTTGGGACGATATTAAGCGAAAATGAATGCAAATCTGTGTTCAGCAGCCATCTGGCCCGAAATGGGGGAATCAGCTGCTCTCACAACAGGCTCGGAGGCTGAATCCATTTCAGCTCATTTTCTAGATCATCTGGTCCCGCACCCAAAGCGTGGAAAATACGGTCTTTATCATTCACCAACTTTATCTTTTTTGTCACTCCACTGCTGGCTCCGAGCTGCGGGCACAAGGGCTCGCTGCCCGGGTAGGGGCCCCACCGCGGCCTGCTGCGGAGGGGCCTGGGAGGGCAGCCCCCTGGCCCCCACCCCGGATTGTCGCCGATGGGCGGGGGCAGCAGCGGCAGAGCACCCGAGGCCCGGGGTGGGGGATGGGCTGCAGGTCAATTCCTGGATGCCCTGAGCGTTGCGGAGCGCGTCCCCGCGCCTGGCCACCTCCCGGGGGAGCCCTGCCCCGCCCTGAGCCCTTTCTAGGGAGCGAGGGATCGGGAGGGGAAACAAAATAGGGGGACGCGGGGGGAGAACGGCTGGCACTTTGGAAGTTGTGCAGGCCGCCGCGGCCGGCGGTCCAGCCCCCGCGCACAGCGCGCTCCCAGGGGCTAGGTGGGCGCCTAGGGGC